CCCCCCCCCCCCTTCCAACTCCAGGGAATTATATAGAAGGATCTCTGGTGTTAAGTTGAGCAGAAGACAAAGAAAAGAAACCGTGCCTGGTATTAAAAAAAAAAAAGAAAAGAAACCATGCCTGGGAAATTCTGCCTATAGATTGGTCCTCATGTGTGTTTGTATTTTGAATATTCATAAAGTGAGCTGCAAGGGACCTCAAGCCATAAACTTGGTTTGTGGTGGTCCCATACTGATAGTGTTTCGAGAATCCTGGCTGAAATTAATGAAAATCTGTTTTGAAAGATGGAACATACAACCTAGGCTTTGAGGATATCATACAAATAAATATTTAAGGGTAATTAACAATATAAGGCACACAAAGAAACAAATAAGACATGAATGAGAAGAATCAGAAACAATGCAGCAGAAATTGACCCACACAAACTTCACATATTGGAAGTATTAGATTTAAAAACTATTTATACTTACTAGATATAAATAAATACATACTTGAAAATATCTGCATAAAACAGATTGAAAGGGTACATTGAGTTCCAGGGGAAAAAATAATACAAAATTATCAAAATCAAGATATAACCTGAGAAATATAATGAAGTTCAAGCATAGGAAATAAGTCACCTACAGACAAAGAAAATAGGTTTCAGACTTATCCTCATCAACATTCAATACTAGAACACAACGGAAATGTTTATCAGGTTCTGAAGGAAAGAAATTATGGCTCAATAACTTTATACCTAGCCAAGATGTTGCTCAAATACAAAGGTAACTGCAGAAAACAGAAAAGAATTTATAAAATATTTCATTAGCACTTATGAGTGCTTATTGGGTGGGGGGGGGACTCCTTTGGTATGAAATTTAGCCAACTTATGGAACAGTATAGAGAAACTAATGTAATATTTGATGTCAACTAATCTCTGAGGAAAAGTTGACTCAAGAATTCTATACCCAGCTAAATTGTACTCCTCAAGTATGTGAGAATTCAAGAAATACAGCACTTATAAATTCTTCTTTAAAGAACTACATATGATTAAATCCAGCAAAACAAGGGATGAAAAAATATAAATGATTGAGGTAAGGGGAAACTGGGGTAAAATGACAGTACAGACTGCATTTCATTCCAGTTTGAGCACACCGGTTTATCTCAATTCCCACCTAAAACTTCATCTAAGCAATAGAGAGCAAAGGTTTAAAATAAATAGACCTGTAAAGACAAAAAGATTTGGAGAAGAGTAAACAGGGAGACAAGTCAAGAAATGCCTTCAAAAGACCAGCAGAGTAAATAATCCCTAACTTAAATTACGTACCAAACAAAATTAAAATTTGGTTTTATAACATCTGAAATTTTCAGATGTTCAAATTCTCAATAAATTTATTACCAAATATTCTTCAGAATTCAAGGGAGTAAATTTTAAAAACCAGGAAGACATAAAATCCAGAAAATGAAATTAAACTCAGGTGAGAAACAATAGAAATTCCAAGAATGATAGGTAAAGCAAGTTCCAAACTGCCAGCTATGCAATAGGTCTACAGAGCAAATAGTATACATTTCAGCAGGAGTCTAAATAGCTCCAGGATGACTCCAAGAAAAGATAATGGAATGGAAATATTTCTTGATGAGTTTAATAATACAGTGAGGAACTTTGGACTTTAGATAGTATGGAGAAAAGTTAAAAATATGTACATGGAAAAGTAAAGTGAAAATGAGGCAATTTTTACTTGAGGTAAAGAAAAGAAAATATCAGTACACCATGAGGTTAGGGTGTAAGCAATATCTACATAGTCATAATTATATAAACACTATTAAAACTGAATTTTGTATGATATTGCTAGGAGAGAGGATGGGGTAGGAGAAATGTGTGTGTGTGTGGGGGGGGCATGTGCATACACATTCCCCTAAAGAAGTAAATAATATCTAAAACTAAAATTTGAATAAAAGCATTCTATAAACATATTATTTAGAAATATGGAAGTAAATATTATGGAAAAACAGTTAAATGCTTCAAAAGTTGTTACCTCTGTACAGACTTGAATAAAATTGAAACATTTGTAGCACTGTGTGTCAAATTAAATTTCTAAAGCATAAAATGTCAAAACAGTTATGGGAACTATTCTTATATACATTGTGAATGTTGTTAATGTTGATAAGTTAACTATATATAACAAAGTGTAAAGTGAGGCAAGGATGAAAGTGTAAGGAGGCCTGACTTGCTCATTGTAAAGCTGGCAGTTATGTTACTGTGATCATCTTGTTTTTAACCTTTAGGGATTAATTAAGCTTAAGCAAGTTCTATAGTTTCATATTATTTTGTCTCATTATATGCAAATAAAATATGATAGTTTTAATCATAAAGCTAGCCATTTATTATGGGTCCATTTTATAACATTGTTTCCATTGATTAACCTTTTTATATGAATTCATAGAAATGCTTTTAGAATGATGTTGACTTAATATTAATGGTAACTATTTCTGAGGGCTGGAATAATAATGTTAATTTGCTTTCCTTTTTCTTATTGAATATGTTTGAATGACGTGACTGTATATTAAAAGAATGAGAATTATTATTTACATACTCAAAACCATTTATTATAAACAAAGTAATCATGAGTCTACCAATATTTTTCTACTTATTTCTATTTAACAGGAATTGAATCCTTTAAAGTTATAGTAGGTGGTCTAATTAAATGCTATCAATTTTGAAAGAAAATACTCAACTTAGAAAACATCCAGCTAAAATATTAGTTCACTTAAAAATACACAACAGTTTTTTTGAAACAACATTACAGGGATCCAATAATTTATGAGATCACAAAATTTTTTGCATAAGTGAAAATGATTATTAAAACTGAAAGCCATCATTTAAAATACTTAGACTCATGCTGATAATCATAAAACACAATTCTCCTAATCATAACAAGATATCAATGAACAAGCTCAAATATCAGGAATCTGAAAACATTTGTGATTTCCAAAAATCTTAAAATCCTGAGATACGTCATTGCTCTGCTATTGTATGATCATGCAAAATGTGAGGGGGAAAACCCGACCGAACAACAAAAGCACCTAGAGATTGAGAATGTGAAATACTTCAACAGGTTGCAATAACTATAAATATGGCGATAATGATGAATGTGTGAACATGTAAGCCCTTTCTGTGAATGAAAGGGTTGGGAAGTAATACATTAGTGAATATTATCATTTATCAAGTCTTGTCAAGATGAGATTCCTAACTGAACTCAAAATTATTTCTAAGGTTAGTGTTATCCTCGGTGCCCCTACCAGCCCATTCACCCATAAAGTTGGAGAAGTTGGTCCGAGGAACCTGAATTCCCTGGCCCCTAAGCCTCCGTTAAGACACACCTCATACTGGTCCCCATGCTACTGAAATCCAAAAGGAACATCCAGGCCATACTTGAAGGTGGGATTTTTGTCCATGACGCTCTCAAACTCTGTATCTGGGGAAATTAGAGATGTTACCAAAGACACTGCATCATGATGAGATTCCTAATTGAAGTTATTCCGGAAGATGACATTTTCCTGTATTTCTTTGCTAGTGTCTTGGGGTGGGAGGTTGGGGATAATCGGCTTCAGGAACTTGAAGTCATTACTCCCGGAGTCTCCCGTCAGACACACCTCGTACTGGTAGCTCTGGGTCAGGGTCCCCGCGCCGCTGACGTCCACCAGGGGGCCCGGAAAGCGGCCCCCGGGCGCCGCGCAGCCCCCCGCCCAGGCGGCCCCGCTCCGCCGGCACAGCCGCACCGCCACGAGCGCCAGCAGCGAGAACAGGAAGAGCGACGACACCGCCGCCAGCGCGACCACCAGGTAGACGGTGAGCGGGTCGGCCGGGGCCGCGTCGGCCGCCGCGTCGCGCGCGGGCAGGTAGGGCTGCGAGAAGCCGTCCACCAGCAGCACGTGCAGCGTGACGCTGGCCGACAGCGGCGGCTCGCCGTTGTCCTTGACCAGCACCAGCAGCCGGTGGCGGGGCGCGTCGCGCTCGCTCAGCGGCCGCGCCGTGCGCACCTCGCCGTTGTGCGCCCACACGCCGAACAGCCCGGGCTCCGTGGCCCTGAGCAGCTGGTAGGACAGCCAGGCGTTCTGGCCCGAGTCGCCGTCCACCGCCACCACCTTGCCCACCAGGTAGCCGGGCTCGGCCGCCCTGGGCACCAGCTCGGTGCAGGGCGCAGAGCCGTTCTGCGGCGGGTACAGCACGAAGGGCGCGTTGTCGTTGGCGTCCAGCACGCGCACGCGCACCAGCGCCTGGCCGCTCAGCGCCGGCGCCCCGCGGTCGGTGGCGCGCACGCGGAACTCGAAGGCCTGCAGGGCCTCGTAGTCCAGCGCCCGCAGGGCGAACAGGTGGCCGTTGTCGGCGTTGACCGACACCAGCGAGGCCAGCGGCAGGCCGGGGTCCGGGGGCGGCAGCAGCGAGTAGGTGAGCTGGGCGTTGGCGCCCGCGTCGGCGTCGGTGGCGCTGACGCTGCCGATGTGCAGGGCGGGGCTGTTGTTCTCGGGGACGAAGAGGGTGTAGGAGGTTTGGGTGAAGGCGGGGGCGTTGTCGTTGACGTCGGAGACCAGCACGGTTATGTGGTGCTGGGTTGTCAGCCTGGGGGTCCCCATGTCGGTGACGGTGATGGTGACGTTGTACTCGGCCTGGCTCTCTCTGTCCAGCGCTCCTTCTGTTACCAAGGTGTAGAAATTTTCTATGGTGAGTTTGAGAAGGAAGGGGAGATTGTCTTGGATGACACACATCATTTTGCCATTGTCCCCGGAGTCTCTATCTGAAATTCCAAAAACAGCTACCACAGTGTCAGGGGTGTTTTCTGGGATATCACTTACGAGAAATGACATGGTCAGTTCCGGGGCATTGTCATTTACATCCATCACTTCTATGGATACGGTGCATTTGCCTGAAAGGCCTCCACCATCTGAAGCCTCAATTTCCAAACGGTAAGAACAAATTTCCTCAAAATCCAACATTCGTTTTAATCGAATTTCTCCTGTGACTGCGTTTATTTCAAACACCTGAACGGCTTGATTTGAGGATTGGAAAAATGAGTAGGAGATCTCTCCGTGGGTCCCAGCATCTAAATCTCTAGCGGAGACAGTGATGACAAGGGAGCCTACAGGGCTGTTCTCTGAGACCTGCACCTCATAAAGCAACTGAGTAAATTCAGGGGAGTTGTCATTTATGTCCAGAACCACAATAAGAACCTGGGAAGTCCCAGTCCTGGGCGGTGACCCACCATCCAGCGCCGTGAGGGTTAACCTGAGCTCTGGCTGCTCCTCGCGGTCCAGCGCTTTGTCCAGCACCAGTTCGGGGTATTTCCTGCCATCGCTGTGATTGTGAGTGAAGAGGTGGAAATGGGTGTTGGTGCTAATTGTGTAGTTCTGAACTGTGTTGCTGCCCACGTCTAAATCCTGAGCTTTTTTCAAAGGAAATGCAGTCCCCGGATGGCTACTTTCCGGGATTTTCAGGAGGATTTCCTGTTCCAAGAATTCTGGGGCATGGTCATTTACATCTCGGAGCTGTAGTTCACCTTGAATAAACTGCACTGGGGTTTTCAGTAACAGCTGGAAATGCAGTATGCATGGATCCGTGTCACCACAGAGCTCTTCCCGGTCCAGTTTCTCCTTTAGGAGCAAATTCCCACTCTTCTGCTCGAGCTGCAAATGCTGTTTGTTCCCTTTGGAAAGAATCTGGGCGCCACGCGCGGCCAGCTCCCCTAAGCCCAGCCCCAGATCTTTTGCTAGGTTGGCCACAAAAGAGCCGCTGTCCCTCTCTTCTAGCACAGAATATTTAAGGGTCGCACCGCCCGCCTCCCACAACAGTAATAGAATCATAATAGCGGTCACTTGCCTTTTCCGGGGCGCTTTGAGTAGCAGCGTCTCCATTCTTCCTCCGGGTCCAAAAGATCCAGTATTAAATCACCAAATAATTTCTTTGCAGCCAACTCTGCTATCTTAGTTTAATAATCCTGAGTTAGTTCCTAACATTGACTGACATGGGGATGGGCAGAGCTGACTCTGAAACCTTCTATCCCCAGTGGTGTAAAATGTTTCCTTTGCAAGCTGCGGGCACTGCTCAGCTAGATGTAGTCTAGGAATCACCGGAACAGCTTTTTACTCTTTTATCCTGCAGCGCCACCAAGCGGCCTGTTTTACAACTTCAGGTAGTTTTCATTTCAAAGCACAATGTAATCGCTAAAGCGCATTGAAGGCCTTTTTGGATCATAGAGTGTTATAAACTCCTTTCTCCCGCTCACCAATTGTGCAGTCTTGTTCAGATAGCTAACAATAGTTGTGAGAGCAAAGTAATACCTATCTATATTTTTCATCTTCTTTATAAAGGTACACGTTCAGTATACAGAACTCAGTTGAAAATTTTTCAGCTTCTGAAGATGAACCGGAAACTACAAAAATTCTTGTTTTTGAGGCGCTTACTTTCTATTACCAAAATACTATTTTTTCCTTTGTGTTAGAAGTTATGAATTTGTAAATCCAGTGTCTGCTCCCAGACAAACAGAAATTCACCTGTAACTCCTGAGAAAAAAGAAGTCATGTATTGTCAGTCTCTGGATTACATAGCCTTTGAGAATTTTTTTTTCCGTCATAAACTCATTGTGTGCATAGCCCAGTAAAGTTAAGAGGGAATGGCCATTTATTTTATTAGAAGTCAAAATAAGCTCAGAATTCAGGGAATGTCTTTCTGCAAGCATGAAGAAGGCAATAAAGTCAATGAAGTCAAAGATACACTTTCCAGGGAAGGGTTTTGACCTGTCAGTTTTGATAAGGGCCCTTCCAAGTGTACATTTTCTGGGACAATAGGGATAGGGTTATTGAAAAGCACCACTGCATCAACTAAAGCCATGTGAGTTGGAGTGAGAATATCAGAAGAAATAGTTTCCCCCAAGGAAGAATGCTATTCCAAGGAGAGAGTAAAAATATGGGAATACAAAACACTAAGTGTTCCCTATACTCATTGAACCAGCTGGTAATCATCCATAACAAAAGAGCCATGGCAGTTCACTTATTTGGAAAAAACACAGCCAAATATAATTTAGTTAAGCCCACTTCCATTTTAATTAAAAATAAAAATAAAATATTTGCTCACTTGTCACTTTAGTATAAACTGCCTAACTTTGATGGGAAATTGAAAAGAGGAATTTTTCATAAAATACTACAAATATAAGCAACAAAAATAAGACCAAATATGAGTTAAATTGTAAAAGTAAATGATATTATGATTAATAAAGATTAAATGAGGCATACACAGCACTAGAAGGGAAAATATGACATTATCTAATGACCTGGCACTAATAACCTACTTAGGTCTTGGCAGGTATCATATATATAGAAGCTTAAGAAATTAGGAGGAGAAGTTTGAAAAATATAATACGTATTTTACTAAACAATACCTTTGAACTTTCAAATAGTTGGACAAATACAAGGAGATAAAATGTACTTTCAAGCATTTGATGTTCTGTAAAAGAGTGTAGGGTTAGTGGAAGGTGTTTTCTACTTATAGGAAAAGTAAAAGTGATATTTAATAATGCCACTCATTGGCAAGGGTACTATAGTGTAGAGAGAATATTAGTATTTCTGTATCCCGTGAAAATTATTTTTTTAATTCACTATAGCAATGTTAATAACATTCAACAAATATTTATTAAGCATTTATAATTGGCCTGGTATTTTAAAAAGACCGTCATATTTTTACATGAAGCTCACACTGTAATTTAATGAGTTGACACTTTTGTAAATTCTATATTCATAGAAAATATATATTGACTTACAGTTAATGAAATACACATAAATATAAATGGCTATCTTAGCATTTAACCACCTTGTAGTATTTATCTTTAGTTTACCACACTGTAGGTGTTACCCCCAAATAAGCCTTACTGGCAGATTAAATATATCAAACATTCCCTACATAGCAATAGTGATGAAAATTGTCATCAATAGTTGCAAATAGAATCATACTTAAGGATGTTGGAATATAATTTTTATAAAAAGAAATAGAAAATTGAATTAAGAATTTTCTAACTACACAAATAAAATCTACATTTTATTTAGATTGTCAAATACAGCTGAATGAATAATAAAAAGACTCCTAAGCATAGTATAGAGGATATACTGTATGTGTATATGCAACATCTGAATTTCATTTCACCCTAAGGAACAGTAGTAAATTAATCAAAAAAGGGACCGATAATAACATGTAACTTTAGTTAAAAGAGATTTCAAAACTTTAGTGTTTAGTTGAATATTCCAATACTTAACTGAATGGGAAGCTATTCCGAAAGGTGGGTTTTTCCTCCATTTTCCTCCCAAGTTCCTTGTGGAGGAAAGTTGGTGAGAATCGGCTTCAGAAACTTGAACTCGTTGGTCCCCGAGCCTCCCGTCAGACACACCTCGTACTGGTAGCTCTGGGACAGGGTCCCCGCGCCGCTGACGTCCACCAGGGGGCCCGGAAAGCGGCCCCCGGGCGCCGCGCAGCCCCCCGCCCAGGCGGCCCCGCTCCGCCGGCACAGCCGCACCGCCACGAGCGCCAGCAGCGAGAACAGGAAGAGCGACGACACCGCCGCCAGCGCGACCACCAGGTAGACGGTGAGCGGGTCGGCCGGGGCCGCGTCGGCCGCCGCGTCGCGCGCGGGCAGGTAGGGCTGCGAGAAGCCGTCCACCAGCAGCACGTGCAGCGTGACGCTGGCCGACAGCGGCGGCTCGCCGTTGTCCTTGACCAGCACCAGCAGCCGGTGGCGGGGCGCGTCGCGCTCGCTCAGCGGCCGCGCCGTGCGCACCTCGCCGTTGTGCGCCCACACGCCGAACAGCCCGGGCTCCGTGGCCCTGAGCAGCTGGTAGGACAGCCAGGCGTTCTGGCCCGAGTCGCCGTCCACCGCCACCACCTTGCCCACCAGGTAGCCGGGCTCGGCCGCCCTGGGCACCAGCTCGGTGCAGGGCGCAGAGCCGTTCTGCGGCGGGTACAGCACGAAGGGCGCGTTGTCGTTGGCGTCCAGCACGCGCACGCGCACCAGCGCCTGGCCGCTCAGCGCCGGCGCCCCGCGGTCGGTGGCGCGCACGCGGAACTCGAAGGCCTGCAGGGCCTCGTAGTCCAGCGCCCGCAGGGCGAACAGGTGGCCGTTGTCGGCGTTGACCGACACCAGCGAGGCCAGCGGCAGGCCGGGGTCCGGGGGCGGCAGCAGCGAGTAGGTGAGCTGGGCGTTGGCGCCCGCGTCGGCGTCGGTGGCGCTGACGCTGCCGATGTGCAGGGCGGGGCTGTTGTTCTCGGGGACGAAGAGGGTGTAGGAGGTTTGGGTGAAGGCGGGGGCGTTGTCGTTGACGTCGGAGACCAGCACGGTTATGTGGTGCTGGGTTGTCAGCCTGGGGGTCCCCATGTCGGTGACGGTGATGGTGACGTTGTACTCGG